TAATTTCGACTTATTCCCACATAATTCAAAGCCTACAAACACTTCGCTTGTCAAAACAATTTTTATCTTTTTCTATCCATTCATTGATACGGCACATTTTGATTTTTCCTATGGCAAAAATTACAAAAATACCGAACTAGGTCCCAATGAAATGTCCAGACTTTCTATTGTTCATCAGTATGGATGCAGAAAATATTTAATAAGCAAACGGCTGCTGTTTTTGTTTGGAGAAATAATCGAGGAAAATCGCCGTCGAGAGGAATTTTTTCAAACAAACGCTAAAGACAGATGCATAATGAGCACGGCGCGCAAAGCATGCTAGTGAAACATCCTCCTTTGGGAATACTTAGTTACAAAGCCTACTCATCATTTTAATAATAAATGAACAACTGAAACGGTTTGTATATGTTCTAGGCAAGTTAAAAAGACGCTTACTTCTTATATTATAATTGGCCTTGAGCATGGGTGGAAGTAAGTCACTGAGGACATGACTATTGTTACCTAAGATAACATTATAAAATTTTTGGTATAATGTTTCATGATGCTTGTTTAGTGTTTCAATGTTCGATGAACTTAAAGCGTCTTTGTATTCTAAATTAGGATGCATAATTGCCACATCTCTCTCTTTTGTAGACGTTCCAGTTCTAGCTTTAAATAACTAGGTAGAGCATGGTAAAAAACTGGAATGGCATAATCTATAATTGACCTAATACACTTTGATATAAAATAAGACTAAGTCAGATGTTGGGACCTTAGCTCTTCGTAACTGTACTAGAAAGTATAACCTTTTAGAGATCTTTTTTACTATTTCTTCTACATGAGTATTCCAAGTTAGATTACGATTGATAATAAAGACCTAGTAACTTGGTACTTTCAACAAGCTCTAATGGTTTATCATTAATAACAATGATGGGAAACTCGGGTAGGTTTTTGGCAAAAGAGATCCTACTCTCTGTTACATTTATCTGTATTGAGCTGTACTCTATTCTCTATAGACCAGTGTACTATGTTATCAGCTATCGTCTGAGCGTTACTTTATTTACCTTTGGGCACTATTTCACAAGCCGTTTTATCATCAACGAACTTCCACAAAAGAAGTCTCAGTTAATAGTTAAATCATTAATCATTATAAGAAATAAGTGTGGGCCTAATATTGTACCTTGTGGTACACCCGAGGGTACGTTAATGATGGGCTTTCACCCATACCCTGGGCTCCAGAGGTCTTATTTCGCTTCTGGTAGCAATAGCAAATTATGGGTAGCATGGGTGATGCTTGCGGCTAACGCGTCGTCTTTCACCGCTGTGAGTCCAACGGGTCGGGTCGCTGGTTCGAGGCCTGCGGTCGTCACATGTGAATAGAGTTTGTTTGATGCGTTGTTCTCTCCTATGCTACGAGGATTTTCTCCGGGTTCTCCGTTTTCCTTCCTCCGTAAAAATCAACACGTGAGCTGAGCGTTGTTTGCATAGAATATCAAATGTAGTGGTGAATATTAAGTGTAGTGCGTGTGAGTGAAAATGTTTCCCCAATTAGTGCGAAAGCGCTAGAACGACTAGACACTTAAGTAAAAGTGATTTATCTATTTAGGGAATAACAGCAAATACGTAGCGAGAATACATAACCTGAACCCAGGAGATTTAAACCATTTATGAGAAGGGAAAAAAACTGACTTTGAATAATCCTTTTATTTTCTGTTTATACAGAAAGTCAGACCTGTTCTTATATGTTCTTTGACATTATATAGATAACATTGTCTTCAGCTCTCTGTTTATAATAATTCATGCACTAATTCAGAGAATATTGTACTTTTAAACTTTGTATTTTATCTAGCAACATAGACTAAATACTTTATCTATCTTATTGTTTATAACAATTTATTGTTCTTTTCTATATGTTTTGCTCATTCGGCCATCGACTCAGAGGAAGGGGGGGAGGGGGGGGGGTACTAACCATGTTTTTTTTTCAGGAGGAGAGTAACAATTTCAGTAATTTGTCAACCAACGCTTGGAGGCCACTTAAAAAGGCCGGCCTATCAATATATCTAATAGAGATTTATCTTCAGCTATTCTGGGGTAGGACACTAAAATTCTTAAGGTAAGAGGAGAGTGGGTTAAAAGTCAGAGGTCCTTACTTTGCCCACTTCTCTTCATTCTTTTTATTAATGACCTTCCAAGCTGCATATTGCAGAGTAAGGTCGTCTTATACACCGCCTTGTTCTTTGCTCATAAAGATGCCAAGACGATCCAACGTGCCACTACAACTTGACTGTCAATACTCTGAATAACAACAACAACTTTATTCTCATTTCAATAATAATGTTACTATTATAATTGCTTTATCGCAGTCAGCATAAAAAACTATTCGAGGCGGAAGCAATTTGAGAAAAACAAGATTAACATAGCCTAATAACTGGTTTAATGAGAATCGTTTGGTAGTTAACTGTTCGAATACTAACGATGATGTTATTTGGAGCAAGGCAGAGGCTGTCAAGATCTATCAAAATGAACATATCGACACTATCAGGAACAGCTTTACAAGTCAAGAATTCAGTTAAATATTTTGGCCTTAACCTTAACTTAGTGTACATATTCCCTTTTATTATCTCGTATATTTTTATAGATCTCAATTTTAGCTATATATTTCTATTGTTATCATATATTTTACATTATATTTTATTTTTATCAATGCATTTACTACGTTTCATTTTATCCACAGAGCTTCAGTGTAAATAAGTTTCTTCAACTTTCTGAATTCTGTGTTAAATAAAGATTATTATCATTATTACTTGAGCGTTTACAGAAACATTTTTACTTTGGCACAAATTCGGCAACTGTGCATGTGTCATGCAGAAGTTCAGTCTTACGCGGGACCAGTTCCTTAGTTACGTCTCTACAGATACATTATCTTTATTTCAAAACATGTCGTTCCATAGTTGTCCCATTCCATGGAATTTTTAAGATCTGGTCCAAACCAGGCCCTTAAACTCTGATTCTTTTGGACAAAGAACGGTGGCACAAAGTAAGGAAATTCAAGAACGGGATCCATGTTGGTGACACCAGGAAAAGTATAACTCATCATTACTTCATTAATGTGCACATTTTGAGGAACCAGTATACTATTGTTGACATAAGTGATGAAGATTTGAAGGGTTGATGGTCCTAAATGAGTTCCACCCCAGTAGCCTTTTTTTGTATCTCCCGCGTAGGACAGACCATCTCCAGAATCATAAACTAATTTCATTGCTTTGACGTAACCTTCTAACGGTACGATCACTTTTGCAAAGTTATCATCTTTTGCTCCTATGCAGACTTTTATGGGGGACGTGTCGAGCCATTCTAAAGAAATATAATGTTAGTGGATACGTAACAGAATTTGAAATCCAACAACAACATTCAGCAACCGAAAATTTGAAATCCATTATCAAAAAATTCGTATTCACATCTCTATAGATTTAGACCTCTTGGCCTTGAATGTAATTTTTCCCCATTACAGTCCACGTGTTATTCCCTAGAGTATCATTTCTTCAGTGTAAACGGTTGCCACGGTCGAGAAGACACATGAATAAGGATACAACTCAAACAAAATATCAGGTTCGTATTTTAGTTAGCGAAAGGGTCCTATAGTCATGCTACGGAAGGAGGGTAAGAATGCAAAATATTACGAGAAAAAAAAACAACAGCAAATGTTAAAATAGTGAGAATTTTAGTAAGAACAAGCTGAACATTTCCATATCGGTGAAAACTATTCCTTACCTTCTTTTGCTGCAGATCCTCCATTTTGACAAGGATTAGAAGCACAATCATCGATATCGGATTGAAAGATATTCGTCATTGAGGTATTTCGTGTATGTTACATACTAAATTCTTATATGTTTTTATAGTTACCCGTGCCCTGATTTTGATCAACACAGAAAATAACTTGTATTTCGTCTGAGGTTGGGTTATTATAATTGGAATGTTTGGTACTTATATATTAATCGCCGTTATTAACTGGCTCTCACCTGTCTGACAGTCAGCCCCAGTAAATCCTGGAGCACATTTACAGTTGTATGAGTTGACGTGGTCTTGACATGATCCTCCATTTTGACAAGGATTAGAAGCACAATCATCGATATCTGATTGAAACATATTTTGTCATTTATATAATTGTACCAACCTGTTAATTTCAGTAACAAACCAATTCTTACCTGTCTGACAGTTGACCCCAGTAAATCCTGCAGCACATGTACAGTTGTATGCGTTGACGTGGTCTTGACATGATCCTCCATTTTGACAAGGATTAGAAGTACAATCATCGATATCTGATTGAAACATATTTTGTCATTTATATAATTGTACTAACCTGTTAATTTCAGTAACAAACCAATTCTTACCTGTCTGACAGTTAACCCCAGTAAATCCTGCAGCACATGTACAGTTGTATGAGTTGACTTGRTCTTGACATGATCCTCCATTTTGACAAGGATTAGAAGCACATTCATCGATATCTGATTGAATAATAATAATAGTTTATTATTTGTATTGCGCAATTTAACATGTTAATATGATCAACTGCGCATTACATATAGGTACACTAAAATACTATGCATGAAATCTCTAAAAAACTACAAAAAGAGTATATAAAAGTTTTAATAACTAAGGTCCAGTTTAGATGCCGAATCCCGCACGCGCCGAATCCAATGCAGACAATGAAACATATGTTTGTCATTTATATAATTGTACTAAACTGTTAATTTCAGTAACAAACCAATTCTTACCTGTCTGACAGTTGACTCCAGTAAATCCTGCAGCACATGTACAGTTGTATGAGTTGACTCGGTCTTGACATACTCCTCCATTTTGACAAGGATTAGAAGCACACTCATCGATATCTTTACAAAAGCACAATGAAGACACGTTTGAGATCGATAAAAATATCTATTGATATTGCTATGTAGATGTCCCTTACAGCGCTTCTTAATCACACGCGTGAAATCGTACAATTAGCCATCGTGACGAAGTAGGTTTTGTTGGACGTCAATCAATGCGTTTCCATGACATTCCATAGGCACGTACCCGTAAAAGCTTTGTGTTTTCCGACAATGCTGGGAAACACTTTGATTAGTATCCATCAAAACTCTATTATGTCTAGAAAAATATTTACACGATTTCGCGCATGTGAATGAGAGGCGCTGTAAACTCTTAAACACTGTGTAGCTTGATATCAAAGTCGTAGAAATCGACAATTGAAAAGACACGAACCACGCAGGGACTCTTGCAACGTGTAGATTTTCAGTACTTGTGCTAGGGTTGGGAGTAGAATCTAGGGTGATAATATCAGGTCATTAAAGTACAAATATTAGTTTTAATGATCATCTTACTCGTCTGGCAATTTGGTCCTTCATATCCAACAACACAAATACAGTCGTATGAATTGATGTAGTCATGACAAACGCCTCCGTGCAAACACGGAAATCCAACGCAGTCATCAATATCTGATGATAAACGGAAACGGTAATTATTAATAGACCTTAAATAAAATGACATTTCCGTCTGATTTGTAATATTAGTCTCCTCTTTCCTATGCAGTAGCGATAGTGCMCTCGCCTCAAACCTCGGCCTGGGGTTCAATTTATGAGCTCAGTCGATCACCAATCAGTAGAATATTTTAAGACTATGTTTTCTATCAAGGATTTTACTCTCAACTGGGATGTCCAGTTTTCACTAATTTTCCGACTTATTTTAATTTGAGTTGTGAATTTTCTTTTAGTTTAACGACATTGGGCGAACGGTCCATTTTTCAAAACTATAGAGTGCAAGAGCGTTGGCGTCTACAAGTGAGGAATGAGGAATCCAAATGATACCAGACATGACTTGAGCAAAAATCCTGCACTCATGGATATCTGTAATAGAATCGGGTGTCATTCATGAATTCATTTATAGACTATTTGCCCTGCCATTGCTATCTTGTTGCCCGTTCCCGGCCAGTAAAAATCTTGTGATCACGCGAGCATACATTTGGTTAAAACATGAGCAAACCACGCAACATTGTTTGTCAACAACATCCAACATTGTTGGGAGCGTTTGAACACCATTATGCGTGTCATTGGGACTTGTTGGACGTTATTGGATGTTGTTGGGTGAAGTTTGAAACTTGTCAAACTTTTGAGCCAACAAATCGCAACATTTCTTTTGCTTTTACTTGGTACGATGTTAGCAGGAAGATGTCGATATTTGCTTTTGCAAGCTTGTTCGCAAATCGATAACCTGACTTGATCTTTACACGTTTACAAGCACCACGTTTTGACGAGATTACAAGCACTCTTATCGATATCTGGTTAAGAATACATTTATTTATTGATGTATTTGTACCAACCTATGTGACTAATTAGTTCTCACCTGTCTGACAGTGGGCCCCAGTAAATCCTGCAGCACATATACAGTTGTATGAGTTGACTCGGTCATGACATGATCCTCCATTTTGACAAGGATTAGAAGCACAATCATCGATGTCTAGTAGCAAAATGTAACAAGATTATATGAAAGGCAAACTTCTTTAGTTTTTAAAAATGTTGTGTTGCTGAGATATTCCTTTGGTAAGTTTTCTCATTTTCGTACTAGCAGATATTCCTGTCATTTATACTGGTTCACGTGCCATTCCCCTGTAAATCATTTCAGTCATTCTCTAACGCCTGCATCGCCTGAGAAGAGCAAGGYCCTAAAATAGCATTTCTTTTCTATAAAAAGACGATTTGCGCATTAAAAAGGCGATTGATTTGTGGAGTCGAGGTCGGTTTTGGTTTGTTTAATTCGTACAAAATAATGAATTATACAAATACAATTAGCATTCTCTTAATGTTGAATATGATTATAAGGGAATATATACATACGAAAATAAATGTAAACACATTTTATTTAGACATACCTGTTTCGCAATTGACCCCAGTAAATCCTGCAGCACAGGCACAGTTGTACGAGTTGACTTGTTCTTGACATGATCCTCCATTTTGACAAGGATTTGATGCACACTCATCGATATCTGTTTTAAAATAATGAATATGTACTTATTACAGGAAATGAGAACCCGTCGTATTCCTAAAGGGAAAAAAGTATAATATTAAACTGATTGGAAAAAACTTACTATTTTCACACGAATGCCCTGTGAATCCAGGTTTGCACTCACATCGATGGGTTTCTTGTGCAAAATTGTACCTGCAGGTGGAATGCTTTGAGCAGTTGCAATTATTCTGCAGAGGAAATGATATGAAATCATATCAACACAAAAGATGTTTTCGAAGGACAAAAATTGAATACGAAGAGAAGAATATTACAGTGCGACCCTTTGTTTTCGGGGAAAAAAATCTTTTAAAGAAATCATTCAAACCTACGGTGGCCGATTGGGACAAAACAATATTACAATGCATGTTACAAAAAAAACACACACATACATACAAGATTACATGTTTAATGACAAAATTACAAATTTGAAAACAAAACTTCAAATCTCAAAACAAGTTTTCAAGTTGCAAAACAAGAATACAAGCTGCAAAACAGAAATCTACTTGTCTCAAAACAATATTACAAGTTTGAAAACGAAATAACAAATTTAAAAACAAAACTACGCGTCTCAAAACAAGATTACATGTTTCAAAACAAGATAACAATTCTCAAGACTACATAACAAGCTGCAAAACAAAACCTCAAGCTGCAAAACAAGATTACAAGTTTAAAAACAAAATCACAGATTTAAAAACAAAACTACACGTCTGAAAGCAAAATTACACTGTCAGAACAAGATTACGAGTCTCAAAACAAGATAACGAGCAGGAAACCAAAATTTCAAGTTGCGAAACAAAACAAATATTAGGAGTTTCAAAACAGGGTACACAAGAATGAAACCAACAAATCTTAAAACCGTTTTACAGAAGCTATAACAAAATAAACAATTCTATAATTTAGTGCTCGAAAACAAAATAAAAAGGATGGGAGCTCGGCTACCAAGCTCCGAAACAGCAAGCGTCGCGTTGATCAGCAGAGTTTTGTTGTGCCGAGTGCTGTTTAATCCTGCCATCGTTTTCAGGAGGATGGTTTTCTTCCCTCATTGTTGCTTATTCCTTGTGGTCTTTTCAACGAACTGTTGTTCTCTGGACGCTTTACCGCCTTCTCCATTTTTAACCACCTTTACTCATCTTCAAGATTGTATTGTTTGTTTCTGGAACAGTGGCTACTCCTACGGAAGCATCATAAGGTTTCTTTCCGCTTGTTACGGAGTAAATATTACTCTCAGGAAAAGAGGAAAGAGGAAATCGGAGCAATAGGAGGGATATAGAAAATGCGATAAACGCGGAACTTAATGGGCCTGGAAGCTTAATGGGTTATAGGGCGATGACTAGATGCCTTAGAACCAAATACAAACTTAGGGTTTCTCGAGAYGCTGTCATGAATATTCTCAAAGAAATGGACCCTAGTGGAGTCAAAGAAAGAAAGAGAAGAAAACTTCGTAGGAGAGTTTACCGCTGCCCTGGCCCCAATAACACTTGGCATATAGATGGTTATGATAAGCTGTCTCCCTTTGGTTTTGGGATAAGTGGATGCATAGATGGTTATTCTAGAAGGATCATATTCTTGCGAGTGTCATATAGTAACCATGATCCCTCCATAATTGCTGGATATTATATGAGTGGAGTGGAGCAACTGAAAGGTTGTCCAAAAAGAGTGTGGTCAGACTGCGGTACTGAAAATGGCATTGTGGCAGCACTACAGCAAGTTTTTCATGAAAATTCGACTACCGGTGGCCAAAGTTATGGACACAGATATATTTCGTCTACTGCTAATCAAAGGATAGAGGCCTGGTGGTCTATTTTCAGGAAATCTCAGAGCAACTGGTGGTTGGAACTATTCAAAGATTTGAAAGAGTCTGGATCATTTTGCAATGGTAATATTATTCATGTTTACTGTTTGAGGTACTGCTTCATGAATATCATACAAAAGGAATTG